TTAAGGCTGTTCACAGTACTGGATTATTGTTGAGGAGTGTATTTTGAAACCTGTAAGTTGACTTTGTTTTATTGGTTGGCTTGAACACTTTATTCTTTTTCTTTTTCATCTTTCAAGCTTTCTGGTTTACTGAACTCAACATATTACTCTTTCCAACGGGTCATCTCTTCCTCTTATGAAATTCCTTCCTTCATAGGCTCTGATGTTTGTGCCCATCTTTCTTCCTTGTAAGTGTAGGATCTCTTTAGAATCTGTGGTACCCACTTAATGGCCATGAATGTCTTAGTTGTCTCGGGGGTATTTGCTTTTCTGTCATTTTTTTAAAAAATAATATTGTTGCAAATAGCAATCTTGGTTGATGTAAGAAACATCCAGCACCTCTCCTCAAGTGCATTGCTGCAGAGCCACGTGCTTAGGCATCTTGGGATCCTAGGTGCAATTTTGATGAGCTTTGCTTTGTAGATAGGTTGAGCTCTTGGATTCCTGGGTTCTACCTCTAGAAAAGTCACAGTCATATCCATTTGTCTTTTCTTTACTGCTTGCGTCCTTGACCTCGTCTTGAGTTCTGATTTTCTTCTACTTGGTGTAACCCTGCTGTTCATCCTTTCCACTGGGTTTGATTTGATTTATTGGGTCTTTTCACTTCCAGCATTTCCATTTGGGTTTGGATTTGAGCTTCTGTCTCTTTGCTTCTTTTTAGAATCTCAATTTTCTTGCTGATTTTCTGATTTTCTCATCAAGTCTTGTTGGTGGTGGTGGTTTGGTTTGGTTTGGTTTGGTTTGGTTTGGTTTGGTTTGGTTTGGTTAAGACAGGGTCTTGATGTGTAGCTATAGCTAACATTAAACTTGCTTTATAGACCAAGTTGATCTCACAGAGACCCACCTGTCTCTGCTTCTTGAGAGCTGAGACTAAAGGTGTGTGCCACCGCACCCAACCTCATGTAGGCTTCAACCGACACCCTCACTTCATTCATTCATTCATCAGTTTGTCCAAACATACTTTCAGGTTGTTGGTAATTTTTTCCTTTTTTCATTAATTTATTTTTTACATTCCAATCCCAGTTCCCCCTCCCTCCTCTCCTCCCACTTCCCTCCACTCCCCCCCTCCTCCCATCTGCTCTATGAAGAGGGTAAGGCCTCCCCTAGGAAGTCTACTAAGTCTGTCCATCATCTAGTTGAGGCAGGACCAAGGCGCCTCCCCACCCCCACACCCCTGTGTCTAGGCTAGGCATGGAATCTCTCCATATAGAACGGGCTCCACTAAGTCAGTCTGTGCATTAGTGTTAGATCTTAGATCCACTGCCAGAGGCCTCATATATTGTCCCAGTCACACCATTGTCACCTATATTAAGGGAGTCTGTTCCCCATTTGTCAGACCCGAGTCAGTGATCTCTCACTAGCTCAGGTCAGCAGATTCTGTGGGTTTCCCCATCATGGTCTTGACTCCTTTGTTCATATTTTTTCTCCTCCCTCACTTTGATTGTACTCCAGGACCTTGGCCCATGTTTAGTTATGGATTTCTGCATCTGCTTCCATCTGTTTCTGGAAGAGGGTTCTAACTTCTCTGGGGTTGTGGATGTAGGCTGTTATCTTTTGCTTTATGTCTGGTTTCCACTTATGAGTGAGTACATACTATATTTGTCTTTCTGGTTTTGAATTACCTCACTGAGGATGGTTTTTTCTAGTTCTTCCCATTTGCCTGATAATTTTAGGATGTCATTGTTTCCTACCATTGAGTAGTTCTCCATTGTGTAAATATATCACATTTTCTTTATCCATTCTCCAAGTGAGAGGCACCTAGGCTGTTTCCAAGATCTGTCTATTACAAATAATGGTGATTTGTAACAGACCTTTGGATTATTTATCTGGAGTTCCAAGCATTTTGGCATATTTACACTCAGTTGTAAAGGACGTCTGGGTTCTTTAATATGTCACACTGCCTTACTTTCCATATCCCTTGCACTTGCACCCTGAAGTTTGTGCTCCAGAATAAAGGCTCTAGTTGCCCTGTGTGTTTGCCTTTATGACTTCTTCAGCCGTTAATACTTCCCACCCATGTGGATCCAGGTCCGTGATCACAGCCAGCTTCCTAGACCCACACTGCTTCTCAGACTGGGCAGTCACATCCAGTGCAGGTGTGAGGTACATTTTGGGCCTGGCTATATAAAAAAAATGTATAATACTGCTTCCTAAACCAAAAGGTTTGTCTTTGCAACCTCTCCTACCATAACCTTCTTCCTTGGTAATAGCCAGCTAGGAAGTGCTGGGGACGCTTTCCCCAGGAGATGCTTCCAGGGTACACATACAGCCTACACCTTATGACTGCAGAGGAAAGGCTCGTTGGCTTTTCTCCTTTGACTGCAGCCCTACTCTGTTCCCACTCCCTTGCCCCGTTGTTTATCATCCTATGCTAGGGTCTACTGTCTCTTACATAAGCCTAAAGATCCCGCCTCTCCATCCAACCCACTTCTCCTGGCCGCCATGCCGCCACGCACCTGATCAGTGGAAATGCAAAGGTGGACGGATGTCTCTGATTTACCATCTTCCCCCATCTGCCCTCATACATAGCATCTTCGCAAGAGCTAGGAAGCTGGCCAAGAGGCTGGAGGGCCCGGTTTTAATACATCTTTTAAGACACCTTCAAAGCAGAAAGGGGAAGTTGCCTGCATCGCCTCTCCTCAAAGCCCACATACAGCAAAGCGGAGAGAGATGGCTGCCACTTCTAGAAAGGAAAGTAGATTGAGTCTAGACCTTAGGTCTCAAATCTTGTTTCATTATGACACTTAGTGCCAGTCAGAGCCCCACAACCCCTTCCCCCAAGCAAGAACCCAAGAACGGAAACTCCAGAGCTACACCATCCCAGGGCTAGTGCCTGTCTCCACCACCTCTGCCTGACTTTTAGAGGCCACATCAGCAAAGAAATCGCCACCTGCTGGGAGGTAGGGCAGGAAAGTGAACATGTGACTTTGCCTTACAGTTCTTGTGAGTTCCAAGGATCATGGACCCCTGAGATAGTGCAAGTCGCTTCACCCATTACACTCTGGTGTAACTGACTTCAGCACATGCCCCCGTCCATATCACAACCTCAGACAGCCCACCACTGACTAAAATTCCAGCTGCTGCAGATGAGACAAAGTAATGTCCTCAGGAGCCATAGAGAGCTCTGTTCCCAAGAGAGAAAGAGAGAGAGAGAGCATCATGAAGTCTCTGAACCTACCTCCTTGCCAGATTGGAAGATGAGTGGCTCCAGCTGGCTGGGTTCTATCCTGACCCGCATCACCTGTATCTGAGCAGGCTCCTTTTCACCATAAATTTACCACAGGAAAGGAAGCCTCTTCCTCCCAAGTGCTACACTGGTCTCTGTGGGCTTAGGAATGCCGGTCTTTCCTGCCATAATGCCCACTGCATCCCCTTCCCAGTCCCAGAAAGTGCAAAATAGAAAGCAATTGACTGAGGATGAAAAATGAAATAGACTATCAAACCACTGTGTGAGAGCCAGTTACTCTGTGAGGACACCAGAGCTAGAATGAGTGATACAATGCCTGAGCACGTGTTGGCGGCGAGATGAGGTGCCTGTGTCTGACACAGAACCAGCCTGAGACGTCTGTACACAAGTTTCCCTTTTAGGAGCGCCACTAGTTCCTTATGAAGACTAATTTAGCACAAACTTGGGCTTGGATCGCCCTCTAGTGGTGAAACCATGACAACACCCCTAACAGCTGAATTACCACAGGAGTTCAGAGTCAATGAGCCAGCTACTTAGATCTCTGGGAGCCCAAGGTCAGATTATGAACACTAAATCCACAGACCGTTCCTTGACTGTGCAGATGGTGTGTTTTGCCAACAGGCCGAAGGTTTCAAGGAGGCCTGAGGAGTAGTATGTGTATTTAGCATTCACAAACCTCAGCTTCAGTCCTCAGCAGCAAAAAATAAGAGATCCTGACCGTCCCTAATGAACAAAATAAAGGAAGAGAGGTCCTGGGAAGGTTGTTCAGTTGGCAAAGTGCTTTCTGAATAAACATGGGGCCCTGGATTCAAAAAACTGGTCATTGCTCATAAAAGCCCAAGGGCGGCACTTACTGTTAATGCTAACACCAAGAAAGCAGAGCAGAAGGGTCCTCGGGGATTGGTGGCCAATTAGTCTGACCAAATTAGTGTGAATCTGTAAGGGGTATGTACGTAAGAGAGAAGTTGCTTGCTGAGGCCTGGAGATGGTGTGGGATCGCCTGACCCGGGAGTTGTAGTTGTTTCTCAGCGGCCTGACCTGGGTCCTCCGCAAGAAGAGTGTGTACTCTTACCAGCTGACCCCTCTCCTGTGACATTACTCATGCTTTCAGTGGGCATCTTGATGATTCACAATATTTCCCTAGTAAAGACCTCGCTGAATGTTCAGATGTTTTTGTGCAGTGGGGGATAATATATTTGGTATGTGAGGGGGAAGAAAAGGAGGAAGGGAGGGAGGGATGGAGGGAGGGAGGAAGATGGAAGGAAGAGAGGGAGGGAGGAAGAGAGGAAGGAGGGAGGGAGGGAGGAAGCTTCCAGATTCTGATATTTCCCTTCTAGATGACTATTTTGCTCCACGCTGTTGGTTTCTTTTCCTCTCTTTCTGAACTTCATTTAAGACCAGTGGTTTCCCAATCCACCATGTTGATTGCCCATCTTCGAACCTAATTTGGACATTTCTTCTCTGGCTTTCTTCCCATCTGCATATAGTCATACGCATACATATAGTCTACATACTACACATAGTAGTGATGTTCTAAAAGGCTGCTCAAAGGGGAAGGGGCAGGTTCCGGGGCTTTGAAATTTTTAATAAGTTACCTGACGTCTGCCAGCCTGTACCACCTCCCCTGAAACACAAGAACTGGTATTTATCCCTGCACGGCAAGGCCGTCATCTTACACAGTTAACATGTGCTAATAAAACACGTCTTTAGCAAAAGGTGTGCACATACAACAGGCCTCATGTCTCCGTTGTGTTCCCGGCAGCACCGGTGCAGGCTTCCTGAGCCTAAACTCCTCAACCTCCTGGCTGGCAGTCACAACAAACCCGATGGACAAAACCGAGCCTGGAAGTTTCAACAGCAGGACCCTGGTGCCAAACTTGATGATCGTGGTCTCAGGACTGGTTGGGATGACAGGAAACGCCATGGTGTTCTGGCTCCTGGGCTTCCGCTTGCACAGGAACGCCTTCTCCGTCTACATCCTAAACCTGGCCGTGGCTGACTTCCTCTTCCTCCTGTGTCACATCATAGACTCCTTGCTGCTTCTCCTCAAGTTCTCCTACCCCAACATCATCTTCCTCCCGTGCTTTAACACCGTCATGATGGTCCCCTACGTCGCAGGCCTGAGCATGCTCAGCGCCATCAGCATCGAGCGCTGCCTGTCTGTCCTCTGCCCGGTCTGGTATCGCTGCCGCCGCCCAAAGCACACGTCAAGCGCCGTGTGTGCTGCGATCTGGGCCCTGTCCATACTGATCAGCATTCTGAACCGGTATTTCTGTGGCTTCTTAGACACCAGATACGAAAATGACAGCCGGTGCCTGGCGTCGAACTTCTTCACGGCCGCGTGCCTGATCGTTTTGTTTGTGGTCCTCTGTCTGTCCAGCCTAGCCCTGGTGGCTCGGCTGTTCTGTGGCGCCGGACGGATGAAGCTCACCAGGCTGTATGCCACCATCATGCTCACGGTGCTGGTTTTTCTCCTCTGCGGCTTGCCCTTTGGCATCCACTGGTTCCTGTTAATCTGGATTAAAATTGACTACGGTGTGGTTGCTTATGGTCTTTATCTGGCATCACTCGTCCTGACTGCCGTTAACAGCTGTGCCAACCCCATCATTTACTTCTTCGTGGGCTCCTTCAGACACCAGCTGAAGCACCAGACCCTCAAAATGGTTCTCCAGAGGGCTCTGCAGGATGCTCCCGAGACGGGTGAAAACGGAAGCAGCGTCCCTCAGGACACGGTGGAGATGTCAAGCAGCAGAGTGGAGCAATGATGACAGCCTCTGCCCGGACCTCGGAGCTCAGAGGTGGCTTCGGAGTGGCCACTGCTCCGCTGTGCTTGACAGCTGTCTGTGCGCTCAACTCAGCCTGGCATGCCTCAGTGTGCTGGCCAGCGTCTTCAGCAGGTCACCATTGACTTAGCCTTTCTACTGTTCCTGAGTGAAATAATTTATCTGGAAGTGTCGTGCCTTCATCCTTGTTGGCATTAATAAAATTCTCAAGCTGAAGCTTTCTTGATGTTCCTTTGCAACTTGTGTTGCCATGGAAATGGAGGCTGTCCAAAGCCACGGCTCTCCTGTTCGTGGTTGTTCTATATACCGGGAAGTAAAGACAAGGGAGCCCCCTGGTTTCCTGGGAACCATCCTCATGAGGCAACACCTTCCGCAACAGCAAAAATGCCTTACACCTATGCGACCACAATGCTCACTGGGCTCACAATAGTCCTCAGTCATAAGACTCGTGCGCCATTTACAAAGACAGATGCTACGGCCCCGATGCCTTAGTGTACGTTGCACACTCTCTCAACCCTGTGATCCAGCAGAAGAGTCCCTTGTCTCCAGCCTGCTGGCCACAACAGTCAGAACTCTTGAAATAACTGGGAGTGTGTATGCTATGAGTTCCAGATCAGGAAGAGCAGCTGGCTATATTCTCAAGCTGCTTCCATGACCACCTTAGCTCTCCTGTCCACCCATGGAAACACAGGAAGGTAATGGAGTCAGGAAATGTCACTCATCTGATCTTACTCCATAAGAAATGTGGGACCTGTTTTCTGAACGAGGCTGTGGGATTTGACTTTACTGTAATCGTGCCCTTGAATATAAGACCACACTGATTAAGAAAGACCCAGAAATGTATCTTCCCTACCATGGCTGCAATCAAAACGAGCACATACTCCTTGTCCATGTCTGATGGCTACCCGGAATTTGTGGCATGTCCTTTCTGAATGTGGAGACGGTGCTTGTCAGGCATCAATATTACCATGACACCGTTGGCCATAAAAATAGATGTGATTTTGTCTCTAGCCTCAGTTCCTGCTCCCAGCAGTATAGAAGAGGTCTCCTTACACAGATCTATCATATGGATGCAACCGACTGAATCCATATCCATACAGATATGTCAAAAGAGGAGAATATCTCGCTTGTAACTGTGCGACTGAGGCGGGCAATTTGGAGATGTCCTGGGATGCTTGAAATCTAAACTGATGAGTCTACAATTTTAGCCACCACAGGTTAAGAACAGAGTGAGAAAATAGAGTCTAGACACAATAAAATGGGAGAGGAGGGAATTCATTATGGCGTTAATAATGATAACAACAACAATAACCTTAAGATTCTTCAAGGAATGGTTATGTAGATACACACACACACACACACACACAGAGAGAGAGAGAGAGAGAGAGAGAGAGAGAGAGAGAGAGACACACACACACACACACACACACACACATACACAGAGAGAGAGAGAGAGAGCCTTTACTATCCTGGGCTTCTGTCAGTTATTTGATCTTAGCTACAACAAGGATCATAACCTGGAGTGCTGTCAGCTCTGAGCAATGTCCGTGATGGCCCTGAACAGACAGGTATTGGCATAGACTTGCAAAAGCAGCCAGAGTCAACTCCAAAATAATACCGAATCAGACAGAGCCCTCAGGCCTGCTCTAGCAAAAAGGCAGCATCCTTTTGTCCCAACTCTCCTCCCAAGGATCTCTCCACCCCTGCTGGTTCACAGGCTGTGGATTTAAAGGAAGAGATGAAAATAGAATAGGGGGCATTTAGGAAATATAAGGAACAAGCAGAATGTACCCACTTGCCCAGTACCATCTCTGTTGAGAGTAGAGAAAAGAGCTCTGGCCTCAGAATAAATTTATAGTTTCATTCCCTGAGTAACCCTTAACTCTAAATGGCTTCAATATGGATAATGGCTTAGGAGTTGAAGATGACTTCACAGAAACCTCCTACTTGAGAAGAAGTCTCCTGAAAATCTTTGGACATGAAAGATGGAGAGTTTTCCTTTTTCCTTTGGCAGAGAACTCTACCACTGAGCTACATCCCCAGCCTTAACTACCTGGACATGCAGGCTGGACTCTTTGTAAACCCCCTGCTACACGCATGACAGAGCAGAGCAGATGGGCTCCAGGCGCTCTGAAGAGGACTGTGGGAGAAAGGGACGTGGTTTGGCAACACGTGCTCTCTCTATACATTTCGTTTACTCCTTTCCAAAAGCCGTTGGAAGAAAAGACAAAATTTAAATGTTGCTTAATCACCATAAATGCTTGTGACTTTTCTTCCTGCCTAGCAATCTGGGTTATACACATCTCTCCAGAACACCAATGTCCTCATTAGTGGTGACTGATATTCATGTAGGTAGTCTAGTCACAGACGGCCCTGTCAGTTGTTTTATTATATTGTATTCTGGTTTACTTGTAGGGGTGTGTGTGTGTGTGTGCGCGCGCGCGCGCATGCACGTGCGTACGAGTGGTGCTTTTCACCTTTTGTTACACACACACACACACACACACACACACACACACCTGGGACGTCACTACAGGATGTCACCAGGATAGTTAGTAGCCTACAAGCTTCCAGGGATCTTATCTGTCATCCTGCTTCCCATGTCTCCCATTTCTTGCAGCACTGGTTACAGGCATGCCCTACCACACCCTACCTTTTACATAGTGTATTAGTTACTCAGTCTTGTTATTGCCACAAAATATCTGATCAAAGCAACTTGAGGAAGGAAGGTCCCATGTTGGTTTGTAGTTCAAGGTGAAGACAAAGCTGTCACAGGAACAAGAGCCTGAGGCTGCTACTTACATCACACACTTTGCCAAGAATTGGAGAGCAATGAATGCTCCATGCTCATCTGGCTTTCAGTCCTGGATCCCAACCCATGGAAAGAGGACTGATGGGAGATGTCATTCTGTAAATATGTTTCTCATACTGGTTAATGAATAAAGCACTGTTGACCAATAGGAAAGCAAGATAGGCGGGACTAGGAGATGAGGAGGAAAGAGGAAGTAGTAAGGAGGAGTCAACATGGACAGCCTGGAGAGAGCAGAACACCGGCTGGATCTCCAGTAAGATGAGACCACATGGAAATACTTAGATTAATAGAAATGGGTTAATATTTAAGACAGAGCTAGCCGATAAGAAACAAGTAACTGGCCAACAGCATTATTTCTAATACAGCATCTCTCTGTGTATTATTTGGGGCTGGCGCGGCGGCAGGACAAGACCAGTGGTGGGTGGGAAAACCTACTCCTTACAAAGGACACCCATGTTCAGGGTAGGGACTTCCCACTTCACTTAACATAATCTAGATAATCCCTCACAGACCTTCCCAGAGACTTACCTAACCCGCATAACCACTTGTCTTCTAGGTAATTTTAGATCCTATCAGAGAGACAATAAATATTGACTACCACACATGGATGGGGATCTGAACTTGGGTCTTCAGGCTTGCAAGCAAGTGCTTTCTTGGCTGAGCCACCTTCCCAGACACACTTTAGATCTCATTATCTCGGAAGTGTTGTGTGAATGGACTCACACACTAGCTCTGAGTTTGTCTTTTTCCTCTCAGCATAATGTCCTTAGGAGTCATCCAAGTTGTAATGTGTACCAACAGTGCGTCGCTGACATTTTTCAATAATAGAGCAGGATTCCACAATGAGATCACATACACGGTTCCACATGTTACAAGTGAGAGGGTGTTTGGATTGTTTCCAGACTAGCTATTATAAATAAAGATGAGTTCAGTGTGTTTGTACAGATTTTTAAGTGAACATCGTTTTCCAGTTCCTGGGATGTGTGCCACAGTGGAATGTTGGGTAGAATAAGAAATACATGTCTAATTTTCCAGGAAATGCAAAAGTACTTTCCATGGTACTAAATCGTATAACTTTCCCATTGGCAGTGTATGAAAACTCAGCTTTCTCCAAACCTTTGCCAGAGTAATTTAACCATTCTATGAGGAGTACAGCAAGCTCAAATCAGTTTCTCGGGAGCCTTCTCTCCATGGCTGGTAAATGGGACCTTCTGTCTCTCCGTCCTAATCATATCTTCTTTTTATTGTGTTTCTTAATTTATTCTTCACAACTGTTACATAGCACTTTTCATAGATTCAAACACTCCATCCCTCAGGGAAGCCCATTAAGAAAGGAAGCAGGCCAACATGCATGGAGGCTCAAGCCTATAATCCCAGCATGAGGGAAACAGATGTAGATGGATAGCTGTGAGTTCAAGCCCAGCTTGGTCTATAAAACAAGTTCTAGGTTAGCTAGGGGAGAGGTCTTAAAAGTCTACCCCACACCTTACTCCCAAAATAAATAAATAAATATTTCTTTAAGAAAAGAAAGTAAACAGTAGCTTCAAAACAGGCTTCAGGGAGTCCTGGGAACTGATCAGATTCACTATGCTCTTGCCTCCCCAAGAATATATGAACAGTAAAGACGGTTAAGAAGGAGTGTCAGACAAGCCCAGAGGCAAAGAAACCTCTGGGACCGGACCAGCTGCCTGGAGGAGGCTCAGACCACCTGCGGCATTGGGGCACAACGGTCCCCAGCCTATGAAGCTGCCCACAGATCGTACAGTGCCCTCCCGGCTCCCAGGTTTTGTGGGCTGTCGTTACCTATGTTTTGCGGGCTGTCACTTATGCTTGGGTTGGTTCTGGAGCCACATTTGTCTCTGTAAGTAACCCCTAATCCATATTCCTGTAGACAACCCCAACAAAAGTCATTGGTTCACCAAACTGGACTTGGTAATTTGGTACCATCTGTACTTTGCTCTGTCACCAACCCCTACCTGGAGTGAGTAGATGTGTGTGTTTCATCTCCGTGGGAGGGGGGGATCTGTCACCCAACAACAATTCCATGCATACACTGGACTTTAATCTGCTTCCCATCACCCACTCTTTTCCCCCATCGCACCGTGGATACAGCGCTCACTGGATACAGCCCACCCTACATAGTCACAGTCTGAGATAGGGGACTGAGGTTTCCACATACAGATACTAAGTCCATTACAAGGTCTTCATTGTGTATTTGATAAATTAATCCACTGAAGAAACCACTGAGTGTGGGGTTTTTTTTTTGTTTGTTTGTTTGTTTTGTTTGTTTTGTTTTGTTTTTTATTTGTCGGGTTGTTGTCGCTTGCCTTGGCCTCCTTAATGAAACAGAGATCTTAATTTAGATCACAGTTCTGGAAACTAAAAGTTCAAACATCCTCCAGCCTCCGGGATGAGTCTCACAATGGATGATTGTAGGCAGTATGAAGGAAGAAACCCTTATCTAGCCAGAAGTCCCTAAGACGTGGAGAGGGCCAAGCTTGACCTTTGATAACAACTGTGCCTCAAGAACTCCAGGAGTTGCCTAAAAATGGGATTCCCAAAGCACCTAAGAGTATCCCTCCAGGCCGCACTTTGTAAAGTTCCACGGAGCCTGTTACCATGGGAACCAAGTGCCAATCTCATGAGCTCTCAGAGGGGTAGGAGGATACAATTAAACAGGATCCAAAACTTAGCAATAATAGTAGGCTACTTGTAGCAGGAAGACCAGAAAGGTGAATCAAAGGGTTAAAACTTCAAGTATCTACATAAAAATAATAATTTATGTTTCCTCAAGTAGAAGGATAAAGAGGAATATGCTGTGTGTGCTGAACTCTCTACATTTCATAAGGGATGCAAACTGATCCTCTTATTCATAATGGCAAATTAAAAACAAATAAAAGATGTTTTACTTCACACATGAGGGGTCTTAGAAATAAGTGAATTTTAAAAAATGAGTTTGTTATTCAGAGCCAATGACAATAAGAGAAATAAGAATAGATGAGGGCTGAGCATGGCTGTGCATGTCTCTAATTCCAGCACTTGGAAGGCAAAGGTAAGTGGATGCCTGAGTTCAAAGCCAGCCTGGCATACATAACAAATTCCAGGCCGGCTAAGAATAAATAGACCCTGTCATAAATAAATAAATAAATAAATAAATAAAGTTCGAAGTTTGGGGGGGAAGATTATCTTCCTCAAATATATCACACCCCAAAAAAAATGTTCCAACTGGGACATTCTTTGAGCAGAGACAGCACACACATGGTTTTACTCCAGTTTCTCTGTTCCAGACAACCAATGCTGTGGGAGCTCCGCTCTCTGAGAGGGCTCCTGGTGGGGACGCTCACTTCCTCTCTGAGGGGCTCTCAGTGGGGACATTAATGGCTAGCTTCTTCTCTTTGCACTCCAGGGGGGCTCTGTCCTCCTTTCTCTTAGGGCTTTCCTGCCCTGGAGAGTCCTGTGAATTGTAAAACTCTGAGTGCTTTTTTTTTGGGGGGGGGGTGGCTATTGCTGTCTGTGCCTGGCTTCCACCCACCTCTCTTGTTCCCTGTGTGATTGGTTTTGCCTCCCTCTCTGTCTATGTCCCATTTTATTTCATCCACAGCTTCCATTGTCCTCGTAGGCATAACTTGGGAAATGTCCATCTGTTTTTCCCGAACCCACCTGTAATCAGCACCCGATGGGGAGGAGGGACAAGGGACCGGCCACTCCGATGGAGCATTGTGGATTCAAATCCACAGTGTGGGGCCCCGGAAGCGTAAACTCTCACCCCACTCTCTGCAGGATGGAGAAGCCTCTAAATCTTACTTACCCCATGGGATCTTGATGGGATCCAAGCAGAACGAGCCTGATAAACAGCAGCCCCGGCAGTCGCTACATTGTACATTAATCCTTCCTTCTGTGGGAGGTGCATCAGTAAGTTGCTTTCCATTTTCACAAAGGTCCTCCTCTCAGAGTGAGCTTTCGTCAACAAAGAAAGCACCTGGGGGCTGTTCTGAGGGAGGGTGCGGAGGAGGTTCCTATTACTCCACAAGACACCGCTTAGGACTCCTCCGGGACGTTCCTGTCCTTCAGATACATCTTTTTCAATAGCTCTCAGACCTCACCCTCCTAACTTCCTCCCCCTTTATGCACAAAGTGCTTCCTCAGACACGGGTCTTACTCACTGGGCACCCAAAGGCTTCTGGGTGCGAACAAAGCCATTTCCCTGGTCAGCATCAGTTACTCCAAATTCCAAATACTCGCAGAGCTGTCTCTCGCAAAGAAAGGAGACTGATGAATGCATTATCTTCCTCTCACTGTGTGTATCCACGTGCTAATATCTCCTACTCCATTTTCACTTTCCCTTTAACCTAAATTCGATCGCACTGTGCTGTCCCTCGCTCATGAATTTATTCACTGAACAGAGCCACACATCAGACTAAGCACTGCCAGGCTCGTGCAAAGAGCCTAGGTCTAGTCTACAAAGACACAGCCCAGCAGTCCCCTCCCATGCCCTCCGCCCCCACCCCCAAAATAAAAGTATGTCTTAATAACTGGTGAAGGGGTTTCTAAAAATCAGGAAGGCTGGCTAATTACCACAGGTAAGAAAATACTAATCCCTGAGATGACAGCTCCCAGCCTAGTCCAACAAGCTCGTGCAACAACACATCTGGAAAAAGATTGCCC